GATGAAAACAGTGTCAGGCATGAACTAACTAACCTTCTTAGCACTACTAAATAAACAATTTCTTCCACCCTTACTGAACCAAACTTTATTGTTATTGTATTTCTTATATTTATAATCCTCCCAATATTTTTTGTTTTTATATATTTATTTTTCATAATTGTGAACATCGTTTAAGCTGTGTTACCACTGTTAATCTTGTATTTCCCCTCACTATGCTACGTCAACAGAACATTAGGTTCAATACTCTATAGCAACATGCTAAAATTTTCAAACTGAATCGACAAAACTGTTTGAAGCAAACTCACTGTTATTATTATTATTAATATTTAATGACCTCATTTCTTGCTTAGAATATTTTTGACTTTACATCGTAAACGTGGACAAATTCCTCTGGTTACTTTTGTTTTAATTTTTAATTTTATTTATATTTTAAGTAAATCAGATGCAATATTGTGACAAATGCTGGGAATTCCATTCTGTAGTATAAGTACTGTTTTTGGAATAAAGTAAACTATTATTATCTTATATGTGTGGCTGGAAATTTGCCTGGTAGTAATTAGCAAGGAAGGAGCGACATCTTATGACTATTGCCTACAGCGTTTTTGTGTTTATGTTGGTGGAACTTAATTAATTCCTGAGAAATATGAAAGTTATCAAGTATCCAGTACAAGTAAGATTTCTATAGGGTTGAGTTCTTTTTCATGTCTTTCATTGTCTTTGCAACAAAATGTAATAATTGCATAACATCTAAGATGTAAAACCTTCAACTCTATATTCAAAGTTTTGATTAATCTGATTGGCCATATTTTACTGATCATTTGTATATTCTTGTCCATTATAGCAGAACAAGTTTCTGGTGAAACTGAAATAGTAATGAAAAATATACTCAGTTTTAACTCAGTGACGTTTCAGCAATGCGTGCCCACATCCACTTCCGAACAAGAATGAGACCTAAGACCTTCAGGTTAAAAGAATATCCAGGGTCCCTTGGATTCTAGTGACTCTCTAATTTATGTGTCAGCTAAGGACAAAATCTCCATTAAAATTAGCCGAAATCTTAATTAAACCATAGATTAATGGGTCCCTTCAGAATGGAAGTTCTGTAGGAATTATTGGGTCTCTATGTCCACCAACTCGGATGAGAAACCGGCATTCATCTATGAATTTAGCTGGTGGTCGGGTTATATTGTGAATTACTTAGTCTGAGCATATTATATATATATATATATATATATATATATATATATATATATTATCCCAACTAGACTGAATAACTACATCTGTGCAATACCCTGTGATAACCCTGTGGTCATATACATAGGTCAGAGCATCAGACTGCGACCAGTTAGGTTATCGGGACTAACGAATCTCGCTAAGGGTGTTATAATTAACTTTGAAAGGATGAACAACTCATACAGAAAATTCAGCAGTTACAACACAGACTAAAAACAGAATCACACAATAGACTGGGACAGAACTACAATTCTAAAACGTAATGTAGTTAGGTATAGAAGGAGGAATCCTTCATTACTCATGAAATCCACACCTAAAACGTGTAACAGGGATGATGAAAACAAGAGACATAGAGGAATGTTGTTGGCGACGAAATCAAAGGATAAGAAATAACTAACAAAGTTTGAAAGTAATATAAGCAATAAATTTTGCTCAAAATAACATCAGCAGATGAATAATGGTGTATAACTCACTGTGTCTTTTATCAAGTAAAATTGTTTCATTTTTTGAATTCCTTTACGTCCTCAGAGGTTTGAATTTTCCGTAGCAGTTGTGCTTATTTTCAAGAGGTGGAGTTGCTAGCCTCATGCTCAACCTTCCCTCTCTACCAGTCATATTACAAGCCAAGCAAAGTAAGGGATTGTGTTGGCCGGGGATCGATCCCTGGACCATATGTGTGGTTGGGGAGCATTTTACCTCTGCGCCACCGACGCCAAAAGTAGAATGTCAAATTATTTCATGATGGAACTATAATAAAATGATATTTCAATTCAACCTCCAGAGGAACAGACCAAATGAAGATATCAGCTGTCATTTAGGATCTGTCAGTTGATAACTAAAATTTCTTACTGATCATTTGAAAACATGTATATTGAAATGTATACTGAAATAATTGATTCCACTCATTATTCATACTTCGTTGTATTACAAGTAGAATACAGGGCTTTACAGTTTTAAAGTTCCAGTAGTAATGGTATTTCTGGCCTTTCATCGAACGGTTCCTCTTTCAAGGGCTTACAGTTGGCTAATAAACCAGGTAAGATGAGTGTTAGGAGTGCGTCGGCAGGGAATGAAACCTGCTTGGTGGGCGAACATCCCATCATTAAACCATCGATTCTATTTATGGCCATTATTATCACTATTGTAGTAGGGTTAAACATATAGTTTGTAATTAGATGGTTCGAGGCAATCAACAGGAAGTCTTAGACCTAGGTTTTGTGCTAGTTGGTACTCGTCAGCAAAGTACATCTAGAATCTTTAGGGAACTCATAGCACCCTTCTGAGATTCGAACTCGTGTCACTCAGTGAATACTGCAGTCAGAGACGTCGTTATCAGGCTATTCGAGCTCGCGATTGACCTGCCGTAGGACTATGTAAGGTACTTTTTAATGGGCATTAACTAGTGTCATGTGTTTAGTCCCTTGTTTCCTGCAGACTGAATTCTATCAGGCAAGTTTGCACTGTGGTCCAAGGCTTCCTACCGATTGCTTCCAGCCATCTTATAACAACAATCCATAGTGTACAGTGATGACGAGCCATCTAGCATGGTGGCCATATTGCAAACTTGACTGATAGAATTCAGTCTTCAGTAAACAAAGGACTAGACACGTGAACGCTAGGTAGCGTCCAGTCAAAAGTATACTATTTTTAAATTACACACAATTTGGAGGGACGATTCACCACAGTTTCCTTTGGAAATCCAAAATATTTACATGAGAGAGAGATGAGAAACTATAGGCGATCAAGGGGCCAGTTAAAGAGGTAGAGGGCGAAGTGGAGGAGTGCTGTTCAAACCCTATGTTCTACTCTAGACCCAAAGGAGTATTAATGTGATTTGTCGAAGGATTATTATACAAAAAATCTACATGGAATCAGGGTTCATGTCTTGCCTAACCTGACTTCTCAGTTGAATCTGATGGTGTTTTACTCGCGAACTCCGCCACTCTGAATGCCAAAGATTTATTCACTAGGCATGTGAGCCACGAGATTTATTTCTTTTGAAAAAGTATACCATTTGTTATCCACAGGAACCTGTCGTTTGTTTTTTTTCCACTTGACCCAGATCATCGATCTCTGTTGGTGCATTATGTCCAGATACAGAAACTTCGTTACTGCCTTTGAATTCAACTTGATTTAGCTAACTTAACGCACACTTTTTCTTCCAAATAACTCCTTTCTCTAATCACACACACACACGCATCTAAAATAATTATCAAGGATACAGTCGATAAATTTCTTATGTGTTTAAATCTTTTCTTGAAGACACAATCTGAGCCAGACGGACTCATTTAAACAGGTTAAGTTTGAAAAAAATACCTCCGAAACAACAGCCCCTGAAGTAGCTAATCACCAGGAGTAGACAATAAGTCTAAAGTTATCAAATATTGATCTGCAGGGATTTGCTTGGTTATAGGTTTTTACCAATGGCTCTCTCTAGTTAATGTCAGCTCTCTATCAAACCTATAATACAAGGTCGACACTCATTGACACCTTCTGCAGCGCAGCATTCCGACTACGAAACAATTTATTTTCAGGTTACCTATTGCATCAAAGGTTATGGTCCTAAGTAGACCTGACTCCCTTCCACCGAAAACTCATTCCGCCAACCAATAAATAAGTATTGATCGAACACAAATACATTCAACCAACTGAGTAACATACGCATATTTATTTAAATATACTACAATTTAAATATTTCCATTGGATCACACTGACCAAGTTTTATTTTCCTGTTTCCTTATCATCAATAGGTAGTAAGTAGTACAATAAAACTAATTTGCCAGTCAATAAATCAATTAATCAATAAATCAATATATAAATATGCGCAGAAATGAACATGACATCAGATAGAGTTGAATAGGGTAAACCAATGAATACACACAGGAGAAGAGGTAATGTTTTTTCGCAAAAGTACTTATGCATACAATGAATGAATGAAACGATAAGTGAATATTCAAGAATATAATTAATGAATCAGCATGCATAATTATAATTAATGAATAAATGAATAAATAATTGAATAAATTGTTTCATTTACCCTGAAGATAAATTAAATGACTAATTATCTTGTTGAATTACTGTACATTTTTCCTTTCATTAATGTCTGCACATAAGGGTTAGTTACTGTGCTTATTGCATAGAGTTTAATGTGTAATTTCAAATACATAACACCCGCCCACCCAAGGCGGTAGATTTAAAACTGAAGAAAAAAAACGGTATATTGTTATTTTTTATCATCAGACATTACCGGGATATTCTTTGATACGCCTTGCATTCATTGCATTTTCCATACTCTGAAAATGTGTTCAGCTTATTAATTGTAGTGTTTACGTCTTAAGGGAGGAGAGATTTTAAAATGTTTCTAGTTTGTTCAATATTCAATTGTGAATAAGAGCGGGTTTTCAAAACCAGAATTAACCATAATCTTAAATATAATGTTATGAATTAGAAAATTTAAAATTTGAGGTAGTTTTAGTAGAAGACAAAATCAAACTCATTCACACACGCATACGCATACCTACAAACACAAACACTGACCAAAATAATCGTGAATAACTAAAACAAAGAAGATTGTAAACGAGAAGCCAAGTCGTTGCTGTTGTTAAAATGACATTCACTGTATACATTGAATAGAATCGAACACTGTGTAACATTAACTCTACTATTATCAGTATAATAATAATAGGGGAATGAATGTTTGCAGTTTGTGCTTTTATTGTTGTGTTTATTTTGGTGTCGTTTTTTTTAACCAGATAAAAGTTCTCCAATTATGAACATGAACATGAACAACGATCACTAATCAAATATTTTTGTACTTGCCAGTAACAATGATATCCATTAGCTGTAACACTTAAGCGTTTAATTAAGCGTCTTGCACGACGTCGTCGTTTTTCATCTTTTGCATTGATATCTGAGTGTACTGCAGTAGTCGGTGACGATGATAATGATAGCGATGATGACGATGATGGTGACGATAATAATAATTCAGAGGACTTTATACTTCTTGTCCATGAATTCTTGACAAGATTTCTAGCTTGAAGTTTACGATAAGCATTTTGTTCAGTTTGTTGATATTGTCGTTGTCTGTCTGCTTGCTGCTGCTGCTGTAGCCCATTGTCTCGAAGACTTAAACGTGCATATGTTGTTGTTGTATCACGTTTCTGTTTATTTGCAACTGCTTCTGAGACAGGTTCCATTTCGTAGAAACCAGAATGAAAAGTATTCATTGCCACTCGTCGACGTATACGCTGATCAGCTGCATGCTCTCTAGACTGGACTTGAGCAGCATCTTCACATTTCCAATGTAATAGTTGTAGTGCTCGTGAACCAGACGGTCGACATTTCATACCTGATGGCCAAGAACATGAATGACCTGGTCGATTAAGGCATACACCTCTACGTATCCATCTTGGCCAAAATAATGGACCTAAATCTTCCCAGATAAAATCCATTTCACATGTGGCTCTTTCAAGTAACCAATATCTATAGGGTTGAATTTGTTCTTCACTTAACGTGAAATAAACTCCATAAGAATTACGAAATGTAAAATTTAATTCTTTAATTTCTTTTAGTAATTTTGTATCTAACGATGAATAGTTTTCATCGACATTGTTTTTATTTGTATTATCATTAGACATTACTGAACCAGATAATCCACGTTGTCTTAACACTCTCGGTGGAGTTTCTGATGTCCAATCTTTATCTAGGCTACCAGAGAGAATTTTGCGTAATTTTTTAGCTTTATGCGGTGAAACATCTGGATGTAAGTGATTTACAACACTCGGATCTATTGGTTGGCCCATAATACGCATATTTATTTTACTATATTCCTCTGAAGCAATTGAACTTGGCCATTCTGACTTTTCATTGTCTTTGTGACTTCGTTTACGTGAATCACTTGATGATTTAATCAAAGAATTAGTAATAATTGTTGGCGAATTCCTATCAACAGTCATCAGTGGTGATTTTGTTGTCTGAGACAATGATTCTAAATTGATATGATTTTGTGCTGATGAGGTTAGGCCGTAACCACCAACTGGATGATTAGTAAACCTAAAATTTCGATCGATATTGTTTGATGTATTTAGAGAATAAGCTTTTAATGAAGAGATCAACTCAATCTGTGGTTCGTTGATTTTCATCGTTGTCACCATCGGTGAGGCTTTAAGTACTGTTGACTTTGTCATTGTTTGTATGTTGTGATTATTATTGTTATTATTGTTACTATTACTGTTTGGGTTATTGTGACTGACTGTCTTCTCTGGTTGCCTAACACTTGATGTATACACATTGAAATTATCAGGCATTGGATATCTTGGTCTAATTCCATTCATGGCTAATATATTTGACATGAGAGAATATCGTCCAAGGAGTAGTTCATTACAACATAATAAAATAAATAATAGGGCAATTAAATGAAAAACTTTAGAAGTAAATTCTCGAAACATATTTGATTACGTTTAGTGTGTGCTTTATCTGATTTAATGGATAAATATGATGAAAAGCGTGCGATATAGTTGTGTGTCCAGAGAGATCTTTTGATCTTCTTCAGTCTACTTTAGGCATAATGATCACTTTCAGTAACAGTAATGTTTATGGATTAGTGTGTTTGTATGTTTTCAAAAGTCCCACTCATTTAAATTTATTGATTTTTACCACTTTAAACAAAGTTGAGTATACATGCATTTGTTATGTAATGGTAATCCAAAGTAGTTCCATTTCTTCATTTGATCTCGTCTTTTTAGCCTATTATGATGATAGGAAGTATTATAATCAGCAGGTTTAAAATATTATTTTTATATGTATCTATTAGTTTGTGAATTCTCTCAGATATCCTTTTCAAACGAAAACAATCATAGCAGTGAAAACATCAAATTGAAAATTGTATACATTAACCTGATTGTCAACCAGTTTCTCCACACTAGCTACACCCTTCTTCGCTCCCCCCCTCCTCCCCAATGATTACAACCACCCTCACCACCATCATTCAACTAGTTAACGAGCTAACCACAGAGAATTTTTTTTTCCGATTTCTTCTGAAAGCAACAGCACTAACAACTCGTAAACACTGTGAGCAATTTGATTGGTCAGAATGAATACAGACTACATAGGAAGGAGGCAGCATTAACCAATCAGAATTCAGTCTGTAGATTTTTGTTTGTTTTGACTTGTAGACATACAGGCACACACACTCATGGTTTATACAATACGAATATGTGCATGTAAGCAATAAATTAAGTCTGACAGAAGCAAATAAATTTAGAATATTTTCAAATATGTTAGTATATTACCTTAAAGTTTAGACAAAGGTTTACTATTTTTTTTGGGTCAAACATTATCTGTAGTCTAATCATACTGGTTTTATTCTTGTAACCATGTTTACATAAATTACACAGATGTGTAGATGCAAATTTTTGAGTTATACAACAAAGTGTAATAAGAATCGAGGCATAAAAACCAGTGACCTCCAAGAGTGTTTGGTTAGTCCGATTGGTTGCCACTTGAGAATGTCGGAAAGTAATCAGAGAGAGAGAGAGAGTACTACAGTTTACTAGCTAGTCCTCCGCATAGAAAAATGTGGGGAATCTAGACGTGCGGGTTAGCAAAAACCTACCTCAGAAAATCCTTCCAACTGCTACAGAAACTTTAAAACACAGATAAAAAATATTTAAAAATTAACTTAATAAATTGTTGGAAATCAGCTGAAGTAAAAATACACTGGCTGGTGAAAGCCTTGAAGAAGTCAGTCAGCTAATGTGTCTTCTTTCAATCATAGCAAAATTAAGCATAGGGATATAAAGTGTATGCAGAATGTTTGAAACTTGTCAGGAAGGCTGCTCAGATTGTACGAGAAATGAGAAGATATGATGTAGAAATGTTAGGAATAAGCTAAAGCATGTGGAATGGAATTGCTATCATCGTTTCTCCAACGTCGAAGAATTAAAGAATTGATAGTTTGTTTTGTTCCAGTTAGTTTCATGATTATTTATTTTGTCCATTCACTCACTGTGTGTTTGTGTCTGTGTTAGTCCTAACTAGCTTTGCACAGGCATACAAAATTTGTTTGCTTTATTTTTTTAGACAAGTTTTCATTACTCTCAAGTCTTTGTGGAGATCAACTGCACTCTGCATGAAAAACAAAATGCGGATTTTCAACTCCAATGTGAAGTTAATGCTACTCAATATACGGATCAAAAGATTGGTGCCGCGTCACGAAGGGCACTTCGAACAAACTACATACTTTCATGAACAGCTGTCTTTGCTGAATACTACTGCATCGGTGGCACAGTGGTTAGGACTCTCGCCGACTATACACATGGTCCGAGGTTCGATCCCCTGCTGACGCACAGCTGATATTATCTATGGTCAGCCTGGAAAATTTGGTCTACCGATATCCATGCTGAAAATTCCATACTTGTACCAAAAATACAGTGTGGAATCAAGCTGTAAATCAAAAAAAAAGATCAAATGACCAGAAAAGATCAGCAAAAGTGAGGGATCTCTGGCAATGAGAGAACCAACACAGCAGGAACCGATTGTGCAACAAATATGAGGGAAGACATGCATATGGATTGACCATACTCTGAGAAAACAAACCATCATCAAGTGACATCACTCACCAGGCGATCGCTTGAGTGGGACTCGAATGGGAAGCAGTGAGTTGGTCGTCAGTGTGAGTGTGATATGGAGGAAGTGATGCAAAAAGGAGACGAAAGCATATTGGCAGACGTCGAGCCAGGTGAAAACGTTGGGGAGAGGGGACCGAACGCAATGGAGATATGTGGCTGAAGCCCTATATTCCCCTAGTAACTTAAGGAAACAATAATCATGTATAATAACTTTAAATATGCATTTCAGAAGCTTACTTCTCTGTTTCTTTATGGATTATTCTAACGGCAAATAATAATTCGCTTGCTTTATGGTAGTTTCCAGGTTCAGCATTTCATGCTCTACGGAATTCATCATCATCTGGAATTAACTCTATCTAGAATAAGTGATAGTGTCCACAACAGTGAGTAAGATGATAGTTATTCCTAATCAGATGATAAATAAGGTTAAACCATGTTATCCTCTTGGTCTTTAGAACGTGCAGTTAATTTCATCAAATGTTCTACACACGTGTATATGCAAGTAATACTTATAAGCCTTTATTATATACTCAAGTGTGAGAAGTCACATGAATAAAACGTTATCACTTGCCATTTGTGCACCCCTTCTTCATATAACCTAAGGTTGTGCTTATAGGGTCAATCAAGGCAGAATTTTGCACACAGAAGGAATATGTAGGATGATTATCCGTTTATTGGGAGTCCATAAACTAAATAGTATAGCATAAGTTGGAATTCATTGGCCATTGAACGGCATCCAATTGGCTTAATGTTCTACAAGCTCACCTTATAACTGGAAGTTCCTGGGTTCGAATCTCACGCTGATGAAGAGTCTGGGACCAGGACGATTGGAACAGTTGTCCAGTACTCCAAAAATTTTCTGATGGTTCTCTAACCGATGTCAGCTCATGATGAAATCATATAATCAATCAAATCAACACTTAAGTAGTATTTTTCCCGCATCTATACATTTTTTACTATACTTTGAGTCATAAATAGAACGAAATGCGTATCTTGTATTCTGCTGCTAGTCACTGCCAATCAAAATATTTGCAATTCTCCTCTAGGCGGTGGACAGATAAGTGACAATTGGTTCTATGTTATTGTCGCTTAACCTGTGGGACCAGAATGCTCATGATCAGGTTATAAACTCTCTCTCTCTCTAGTCATCAAAGGAAATGTTCAGTTTTCATCTGAGTGAACGAGATTTAACTTTTCCTTTGTTTATGACTCTTCATCTTAGTTCTTTTTCTACATAATTTTAACTTTAGTTTTTTGTACTTGATATGTAGACTGATTTTGTGGTGAGAGCAGGCTGCTAGCCGATTGGTTGACACTAATCTACGTTAATGTGGGCCGTGAGAAAATATGAACAAGGCTGATTCAACAACCAATCACAGCAAAGTTAACGTGGCAAAATATGATTCGCAGATAGAGAACTCTATTTGTCAAGGAATCCCGAAACAACCAATAAGAAACCTGCGTTTGTCTGCAACCAATCAGATGACTGCGCTTTTTCTACTTGCATAAGCTATCATAATGTATGTGAAATATATATAAATACGTGTTGATTTTCATAATAAAACGATCTGTTGCTTCGCCCTTGTCTTCTGCTGTTACAATTTTACTGTAATCAAATGTTAATAAATATTGTATTTGTCAGTCATTTCTTGAGTTTGGGGTGTAATGTAGCTCTTAAGCTGAACTTTTTTTTGATTTACAGCTTGATTCCACACTGTATTTTTGGTAAATGTATGGAATTTTCAGCATGGATATCGGTAGCCCAAATTTTGCAGGCCGACCATAGATATCAGGTGTGCGCCGGCGAGGGCTCGAACCCCGGACCATGTGCATGGTCGGCGAGAGTCCTAACCACTGTGCCACCGACGCACACAGTCACTTTACTCCCATGACTTAAGCCTGACTAGGTGTGTCAATGTCCAGGTCTTACTACACTGGACATCACGCTGTCCCTGGAAGACTTTCAGAAACAATGTGCAATAACCAATGCGAAAAACCAGAACACAGATTGGCGACTCGAGAATCTTTTATTCTTGCGCCAATATGTAACCAACAATAAGGTTATTGTGCACAAGATCTAAGAATAAATATTATAACAATAAATCACGATAATACTTCTTATAGTTTTCTCTCTTCCAACGAACAGCGAACAATGAGACGATGACTGTCGTATTGATGACTCCTGCGAAAAATATAGAGTTGCGTTTGAGCAAACAACCATGAATTGATCGTTCAATCTTCAACTACATAGACAAGGTGACTGCCCACAATGATTCATTTTTCCCTTCAAGTAATTTCACCTGTCTTCCTCTAACCCATGGTTAACTCACTGTTTCCCATGCAAGTTTCATTCGACTATTTAGTATATGATGATTTCATTTAAATGTTCAGTCCATCCCCATTTTCTTCTGCGTTTTTTGTTGAACAGTAGACAATTAGCTGGTTAGCTTCCTACTAGAGTTCTTTGTTGATTATCTTTCCTAACTGACCACCTAATCCTCATTATCATGTGAAGGCGGTTGTTGTCTGCGGTAGCCTATTTGAAGTGCTTTTTGTTGACGCTGTATGTATGTGAAATATATTAAAGCACTGACATGAGTGGAATTAAGGTCAAAAATTCAAATCTTATTCCTTATAGTTAGTCCTTTGTGCACCGTCGGCAAAGCCGTCAGGATGCTCGTCGACCATGCACATGGTTCGAGGTTTAGTCCTCGGCTGACGCACACCTAATAACAATAGTCAGCCTGCTAAATTCGAGTTACCGATATCACATGCTGAAAATTCCATAGTTGTACCAAAATACTGTGTGAAATCAAGCT